CTATATGTCAAGTTACTTTTTATGTATAGATTCTATAAAATAATTAGGTGAAAATAAATAAGGGGAGATTACTCTGTAATTAGAAAATCTCTAACATTAAAGTTAGCTTTAATAATATGTATCTAACATCAAATGATTAAAACGTAGAAGAATTGTATTTTGTAATATAGTGTGGAAATGTTTATGGCAGAATAAAAGAAAAAGAATTGAAAAGATTAATGATTTTGAATAATAAAATTATCAAACCGGAGGAATAATGATTATTTTGTTAAAAAAAAAAAGAAATAAATAAACACTACTTTTGGATTGTCACGCGTTTTTGAAGGCCGATTGAGTTTCGTTTTAAATGAAGTGGCCCCAGGGCGACCAATCACCAGAAAACACGTTATAAAAGGTAGGGAAAATTCATAAACTCATTCATGAGGAAACGTCGTCAAACAATATGTTAGTTTTCTGAACATATGGAATCAATAATAGAGCCTCTCGTGGTTCCTCCTTCGGCCTTGTGCCACATTTGGAAAATCACTATAAGCACAGGCTCACAAAAAACACAGAATAGAAAGGGCGTATAAGATAAACGTTGAATAAGCTTTACTAAATAACCGAGGAATAATTATACATTTATTTTTTGGGAAAAAAAAATTATACGAGGTGTGTCTGAAAAGTAACGGGACTGGGTTTGTTGTGTGAGCTCTGGACGACAGAGGGATAAAAGGATTGTGTTATCATCTAACATGACCTAATGGTAGTATATAAATGTAATCTTAGCTTTCTGCAACCATTGCATTTTTTTTCACATGCTTTTTTGGCAGGGCAAATCGTGGCTGCTTCACCACGCCAATGTACCGACTCACAACGCCCTGGGCATCCGATAGTTCCTGGACGAGAAAAAAAAAAACTTGCCGTGCTTGAGCAACCTCTCTATTCACTTGATCTTCCTCCGGGGGATTTTGTTTTTTTTCCCCAATCTCAAGTTATCAAGTGGACCCGTTTTGAAGGTGTGGAGACCATCAGGAGTGCCGTAAACAGAGGTGAGGGGCATTAAAAAAAGAATCCTTCCAGCAGAGAAGCGTGGCAGAGAAAGATAGAAAATGCATCTGACTCGAGGGGGATTACTTTGAAAGGGGAAACCATGTTGCTTGTTGTCCCCTTACTTTTCAGATAGACCTCATATATATATATATATATATATATATATATATATATATATATATATATATATATTTGTTACCAAAGAAATCCTGCAGTCTTGCACAACTTTTGGAATGCATCTTTGTCCATCCCAATCCGTCTTCGGATCTCTGTGTCGCACCTACCGGCCTCTGTCAAGACGCTTCCCAGATATTTAAACAGCGTCTGCATGATTCTAGTGTTCCCAACCTGAAAATCTCAATTCGAGTTCATCCTTTTCCGTGTCTGCTATCAGTACTGTGTCATCTGCGTATCTTATGTTGTTAAGATTATGGCCGCCAATGCTAAATCCCGGTATGGTTTCCCTATTCTCTCAAGATTGCCTCGCTGTATAGTTTGAAGAGGTCAGGTGAGAAGACGCATCCTTGCCTTACGCTTCTTTCCATTTTTGTATATTCACTGATCTCAAGACGCTTCCCAGATATTTAAACTTTAGTGTCTGCTTGATTCTAGTGTTCCCAACCTGCAAATCTTATTTCGAGTTCATCCTTTTCCGTGTCTGCTATCAATATTGTGTCATCTGCGTATCTTATCTTATAATCCCGATATGGCTTTCAATTCTCTCAGAATTACCTTTGAACAGGTCTGGTGAGAAGACGCATCCTTGCCTTACGCCCCCTTTCTGTTTTTGTATATTCACTGAACTCGTTCCCTGTGCGCATGCATGATTTTTGCTGCCAGTATAGGTTCTTGATTATTCTAATATCTTTCCCGAATATATCAAGGTTGCTGAGTAGTATAATGATCCAATTTTTGTATGATTTTTTTCGTTTTTAAAGCATCTAATTGAGTTTTTTAGCGCAAATAAGGTGGAGGCTTATAACATCAGGAAGAGGCAGCTGAAGTTTCTGGGACACATAATGAGAAAGGAGGGTCTGGAGAATAGAGACTCACGGGTCGAATAGAGGGAAAGAAAGACAAAGGAAAACAATGCGTGGCATACCTGGCGGGTTTGAGCAAGTGGATGACAGAGCGTGGTCTGGGGGAGGAAGCAAAGGGAAGGAACTTGTTTAGAGCTGCAAGGGATAGAGGGAGGTGGAGAGCCATGATCGCTTACATCCTGAAAGGTCATGGTACATAAAAATAAAGAACGATATTCGGGTGGGGTGAGTTTTTTTTTCCTCAGCTCTTGCAACAAACACAAAGAAACATGAAAATCGAATCATTATAATCGTGCTGGGTGATTTTGTTTAACGACATATCAAACTCTAAGTTTTATTTAATTATGAAATCTTATTATTTTGGACGCAATATTTATTTAATTTTTTTTTTTTTTTTTTGAGATAATAATAATTTTTTCTGATACAAGTCTAACTAATTATCACGTATCTGGAGTGGAAAAGAAATGAACCCATACCTCTCCCAATGGTATTTGCGCGTAAATGAATATAACGAACCCGACTGGAATTGGAACTCGGCTCTCCAATCAAAAAAATCATAGCCATTACCCATTAAACCACACACACATCCAAGCTAATAGCAACGGATATTCCCAAGCGGTCACCCTCCTAGATACTGACCAGGCTTGCTATTGCTTAATTTCAGTGATTGCAATTATAATCGGGGTGGGTGAAGAGACTTGAGGCGTCAGAGAAGTGGTTCTACAGAAGGATGCTGAGGATATCATGGACCGAGCGTGTGAGCAATGATGAGATCTTAGAAAGGATGCAAACAAGGAGGAGGCTTATACTTAACCTCAGGAAGAGGCAGCTGAAATTTCTGGGACACATAATGACGAAAGAGGGCCTGGAGAATCTGACACTCACGGGTCGAATAGAGGAAGAGACAAAAGAAAACAACGCATACCTAGCGAGCTTAAGCAAGTGGTTAACAGAACGTGACCTGAGGGAGGTAGGAGGAACTTGTTGAGTGCTGCAAGGGATAGAGGGAGGTGGAGAGCCATGATCCATGAGCCATGAATGTTACATGGCACATGAAAAGAAAAAAGCTTAATATGATTAAATGACTAAATTGTTTTATTTTCCAAGCTATAGTATTTGAATGGTATTATTTAGAAAATACCTAAATGTATTAGAATATGTATTACAATAAATGTAATACAATAAACGTATTACGATGCAGCGTAAACACAACTTAATCTTTGAACTAACAATATCAAAGAGGAACTAAGACCGTAGATCAAGAGGGAGTGGTCAGAATAAAAAAGCAAGAGAAAATTGGCGGTAAGCCAAGGGACTGATGAGCATGACACTGCATACTTGTGTAAGGTCCCTGCCTTCTTAGGCGAAACTCTTTAGTCCAAACAAATTAAAAACATTTGTCATTGTCAACAGTGACAACATCCAAATGAAAAGACTACCCTCGCTTCTCTTGATATCCCCGGTTTTATGGTCCTCCCTATCTTCCTTGTTTTCTTCTTTGTCATCGTCACTGGAGGCAAGACATGATCAAAAGACGAAAATAATTACCAAATGCTCTCCCTAAGGAGTGTTTTGTTTTCCTGACTTTCTTCCTTTTTTTTCTCTCTCTCTCTCTCTTTTTTTTTTTTTTTTTCTCTTTCCTTGACTCATTTGGTTTGGTTTGTTTAAGCTTCTTTTATTACATATTGATTTTTCGTCTTTCTCTGTGTTACCTGTTTTGATTTGTTCAAACGATAACTAATTATTTTCGTTTTCCTATTTATCATCCCATTCATAATAGTAAATCGTCATTAACATCAGCCATTGTACGAGGCGGTGCTGAAAAATTCTCGGCCCGACCGGCTTCCCAAAACCAATGTGATGATATCGATGTCCGACAGTACATTTAGGTGAACGCGTGGCAGAGCAGGGACAAAGAGGATTGCTAAAGTGTCAAACACTGATTAGTGTTACAATGGATAGGAAGTTGTGGAGAGCCATAATCACCCGCTCAATAATTTTGTGTGAAGGGATGGTAGAGCAAAGTACAAGGAAGGGTGGTAAAGTGTCAAATATTGATTATCGATACAAGGGACAGGAAGTGGTGGAGAGTCATGGTCACCTACTTAATGAGTTTATGTGAACAGCTGGCAGAGCAGGGACAAAGAAGGATGGTAAAATGTCAAACATTGCTTAGAGACACAAAGGATAGGAAGCTGTGGAGAGTAATGATCCCCTACTTAATGAGTTTATGTGGACGAATGGCAGAACAGCGATAAGAAAGGATGATGAAGTATCAAACATTGCGTAGAACTGCAAGGGATAGGAAGTTGTGGAGAGTCATGATCACGTGCTTAATGAGTGTATTTTAATGGATGACAGAGCAGGGATAAAGAAAGATGGTAAAGTGTCAAACATTGTGTAGAGATACAAGGGATAGGAAGTTGTGGAGAGTCATGATCCCCTACTTAAAGAATTTATGTAAACAGATGGAATGGATAAGTTAGGACGGTAAAGTGTCAAACATTGCGTAGTGGTACAAGTGATAGGAAGTTGTGGAGAGTCATGATCACGTACTTAAAGAATTTATGTAAACAGATGGAAGGGACAATGTAAGATGGTAAAGTGTCAAACATTGCTTAGAAGTACAAGTGATAGGAAGTTGTGGAGAGCCATGATTGCGCACACACTGAAAGGAAAGGCTATTTCAAAGAATATATTGAAAAGTAAATATTCGCTTCTATTATGTGCCATGTCCGTTCAGAGACATGTTGTTGGAGAGCCATGTCCGTTCAGGACATGACTCTCCAACACCTTCCTATCCTTTATAGCTCTTCACAATGTTTCTACCCCCCCCCTTATCTTGTGCCACCATCGATTTCCACGATTGTATATTTCAGGCACGGACATTTTATACACCAACCACACTTGTACAGTTCTTTGTAAGCTTACGGCCACCTCACTTTGAAACACCAGTTCCTATACGATCACCGGAGTTAAGCAACGTCGAGCCTGGTCAAGAGCTAGATGGGTGACTACTTGGGAATACCAGGTACTGTTGGCTTGGGTGTGCGGATGGTGTAATGGATAAGGGCTCGGAATTGTTAATCGGAGAGCCGAGTTCCAATTCTCATTGGGTTTCGTTATATTCACTTACGCGCAAATAACCTTTGGAAAGGTATAAATCCATCTCTTCTCCCTCTAGATATAGGTTAATTAGTATGATTTGTATCACGTGTATTCAATGTGCTTTAGGATTATATTATAACGGGATGTCTTAAAAAATGAATTAAAAAGTTAATTAAGAAAAAAATATATAAAGAAATTAATAAATTCAACTAATTAAAAAAAAAATTAAACGAAATCCTATCGCCGGCTTACTTCGATCATGAACCTTTTCTTTAAAGAGCATTTAAAAGAAAAAATGGATTATAACTGGATTTTTAACTGGATTGTTATGATAATGGGTTTATTTTATTATAATTAGTCTGTTTTTTTTATTATAATGAACTTTTTCGTTCGAAGTTATTGGCCTTTTAAACATGAACCTTTCGTAATAATGTGCCTATTTTAATCATAAAGGACTTTTTTTTATTACAATTGATCTCATTCATTATAAAATATCTTTATTTTAAATCATAATAAATCTTGACTTTCATCACAATTGGCCTTTTTTAATCATAAGGCGTCTTTCTTTTAATCGTCATAGTCATTTTAAAATAAATATTTAATTTCTCTTAATCATAATCAAAATTATTAAATCATAATGAACTTAGTCATAATAAGCCTTTTTAATAATAAGGGACCTTTTTTAATCATTGTAGTGATACTAGCAAATTAGTATGCATGATTTGCATAAGCACTCATATAAGTAGTCACTGAGAATAATGAAGCAGTAAACGAGTTTAGCGGTTGAGTTCGATCCTCACTGGGTGCCCCATACTTTCGGCCTTGTGCCACATCCGAGCTACGCTTGGAAAATCGCTATCACCCGGCCTTTTGGCTGGGGTTTTTGACAAATATTGGATCGTTTCTTGGCCGATGGCTGAGATTCGATCAAGGCTTTGACTAGCTTGGACTGGCTCCGGCCTGGACCTGTTAGGACAAGTCATGACCAGCTTTGACTAGGCTCTGACCAGCTTGGACAAGCTATGACCAATTTTGACCAGTGGCCTTTGAGTGGAAACACTCGGGTCTCCCACGTTAATCGACCTTGTGTCACATCTTGACTTAGTGGGAGTCAAGTAAATACTAACGAGTTTAGCGGTTGATGAGTGCTAACTTCAACATCACAACAATCAAAATGGGATTTTATATTTCATAATGGGTCTTTTTGATAATAAGGATTCATTTTTCCCTATGTTACATAATTAAATACTTATCAACTGATTTTCAAGTTTTTGTTGGAAGCAAGATAAGAAGCAATTAACCAATGCTTAAAATAAAAAAGAGAACTTTGAAATTTCCGGGACACGTAATGAAGAAAGCCGCCTTGAACAATTTAACACTCACAAGACATACTGAACGACGGAGAGGCAGTACAGAAACGACCTAATATGTTTGAATGGATGGACGCCATAGCGGGAACAAATAGAGATGTTAAAGAGTCAAAAGTTATAGAGAACCATGATGGTCCACGCTCTGAAGGGACACGTCGCATAAAATAAGAATATAAGGGGTGAGTAAACATTTGCTAATTCAGTTGAAATTCGAACTCTGGGATCTTTTTCTGTTAATTCACCCCAAATAATGTAAAGTTACTTATCTCAAATATTAATTCACCCAAACAAATTATAAATTTTAAATCAAAGCTTGTTTTTTAGTTTTTTGGGTTTTTTTGTTTTTTTTTATTAAATTTTTGGCACTCTTTTGAAATCAACAGCCCCAACCCTTAGAGTGAAAAATTATCAAAAATCAAGTTATTCGAATTTTGTAAGTGCGGGTGATATTCGGGGTATTTAGAAGGATTTTTTTTTTTACATTTAAAAAAATAACAAACAAATATGTTTTTGGTTTGTTTTTGGTGAGCGCGAACGAAGACCCCACACTTAGAAATATTGTATTTAATATTCTCATCCTTTTTCATTCCCTTGTGTCTTAATGGCATTATCGCCTTGCTTGGAGTGAAATAATTTTAAAAAAATGTCAGTGTTTCATCAAGGCGTGAATGTTTATGACTCTCCACAACTTCCTGCCCGCTTCATTTCTTAGGTGTTACGTTTTGCTATCTGTCGTAATCCCCGTACTGCTGACAATTTAAACAAGTCCATTTCTCATTACTTCTGTATGTACTGTGAATTTTGATAGCCGTCTTTCAAGTGAACTAGAAATGTCATCTATGTCTTTCTATATCTTTTTGTTTTTTTATTCTCTCTAAAACTTCGTTGTTGCTCACATGTTGAGTCCATGGTATTCTCAGTAGCCTGCCATGTCTCCACATTTCTGCCCCTTCTTCGTCTGCGGGGAGATTGTCCAGAATTCACTGCCACATAGGAGGACTTGCATTTCATGACAGTTCAGTACTCTTTTTTTTTCTGTTTCTAACGAGATTTTTTCTGTTTTGTTAATACTTTGCTCAGCTTTCAGGAGGCATCTTTCACTATCCCAATGCGACTCCCTATTTCAGTGTTGCATTTTCCGTCTTCTGTTAAAACACTTCCTATGTATTTAAATATTTGTACCTGCTTGCTTTTGATGCGTTTAATTTTTAATTTGCATATTGGCTGTTCCTGTTACTGACAGCCACGTATTCTGTCCTTATTACAATTGCCATTTAGTCCTTTCTATTCGATTTCTTTTACTAACTTCACTACTAACACAGCAATACATAGTTTAATAAGCAAAACGCATGTTTTGCCGAAGGGATTATAACACTCAGATGGTTTTCAATGTGTCATCTTTTAACTCTTTGAAGCATCGTTGTTTAAATTTCATAGCACTTTTGAAGTACTGATATCTTCGTGGTGGGTCATTTTTAATACCATCTTTCATCTTTATACATCTACGACCACAAAGGTTTATATTCTGTGCTTCCATTTTGTTTAATACTCAGGCTGATCAACAGATGGCGTTGTAGTTCGTTCAAAGGAAAATAAAAAGGACATTTTCATAGTAATTATTGAGAAGTCAGTCGGGTGCATTTATTTCTATCTGTGGGGCGTATAATCTTATTACTTAGCCTGAAATCTAATGCACGCATTTTTTGATGACGGGCTTCTTCTAGATGCAACATGTGACTGTTTTTTTTCCCGAAAATGTCCAGGTTTTAAAAATATTCACCACATTATGAGAGTTCTGACAATATCAACATAAAACTTTTGATTTCAAAGGCAATAAAGCCACTAAGATGCAAAGGGTCACTGAGTGTTCGAGAGTATGAGAAAAATATTATTAAGGAGAGAGAACAGTAAACTATCAGGAAATAAGAAGACGGTAGATAACGATTGACATGGCATTTAAATTTTTTGAAGGTCAAAGTTGACTGGAAAGCAAGAAGCCAGAAGAGAGTTCCTTAAGCGAGAAGGGCGATAGAAGAAACTGCTAACATAGAACATCTAGCTATTTCATCTCTAAAATGATGAGACCTTGCCGCCAATCAAGTACTGCGTTTAAGTTCATAAAGGCTAGGTACCATAAAGAAAAGTAATATTTATTTTGAATACAAAAATGTGGCACAAGGTCAAAAAGAGTATAGTGGATGGTTGGTCTTCCGTATGTGTTATCTTAAACTTAGCTAGTCATGGATTACTAAACCAAATATACCACAGTATTCCTTACACACACACAAAAAAACACATTCTTTCTTACCATTCATAATACAGTCACCATAATACCTCAAGACTCTATGTACCACAGTTGAAAGTTCATCAGATCAATTACCATGAAATATTTATATAAAAAAAAACCACACGAAAGCTACGTTATGGTGGTGGAAAAGTGTCTGAAGCCGAGATACCAGGTCAAGACCAACAATATTGTATTTCTTCTTTGGATTTTATTAAGAATCTCTAAATATATAACAGGGTCACTAGATGAAGCAACAGCATTAAAAGCAAGATTGGTGGATTTATAAACGTAAGACAGGTTTTGGCTAGAAACATTGTTTATCACGACACAGTGAACCAACTTTCCTAGCAAGAGTCCTAGCATTTGATTCGATATAATCTTTCCACTTCATGTCAGTGAAAAACGTTAATCCGGGAAGGTGCAATGAATCATCTTTGGTTAGCATTAGCCATGTTGATGGAAGTTTAAAAAGCTTTCTCTAAGACGATTAAATGAAAAGGGGTTTCGTTTTGGAGGCGCTAAAATGAACAAACCATTCCTTAGCCCCAGTTTACAACAGAAAATAGATCGGTTTTTAGATCAACTGCTAATTAATTATTTTTATTTCTGTTTTATAATTATTTTTCCTTATTTTTTTTTTTATTACCGTCTCAAAACTGGAATAAGTATGTGTATTCATCTATGTTTTGTTGTGTTTGTAGTTTTTGCGCCCACAATATCTACAAATATTTTTTGAACCGTAGATCAGGGTCGCCAACGGACAAACGAATAAATTTAACGACAATCCAGGATTTTTTTTTCAGTTGACAGATATTACATATCTTAAAACATCGCCACATATTACATGGAACTTTTAATCTTTCCTAACTTTTACAAAACTAACAGAGGAATTTGTAAAAATACTAACATGAGATCTGCAGCATATTACACTTAGTGTTGCATATTATATGTAACGTATATGTCGATATACAAAGCGACATTTTAACCGTAACCCCCCCCCCAAAAAAAAAGTAGCGAGCCATCTTATACTCCAGATATAAAATGTGATCCTTAAATCCAGTTTATCGTAGTATTTTTTACGGTAGGCTAACCCCTGCCCGAAACAACGTAATTTACATTATAACCTTTATATACCGGTATAATTTGTTGACCTTTGCCTTTTAATTTGTTGACCTTTGCCTTTTAATCTGTTGAATTTTGATTTGTAATTTGTTGACCATTGTCTTTTAATGTGTTGACCTTTACCTTTCAGTTTGCTCATTTTCGCTTTTTAAT